CCCGCCACCTTAGGTGTATGTGGCTGGCGCCTTAGCCGGTTGAGCTATAGGCGCCGAGCCTCTACCAAAACTCTTAAGCTCTGCCTGGGAAGTTTTTAGGGACAAATTCTTTCTGTGGCACACACACATTACTGCCTGCCTTGTAATGCTACCCACATGCAAAAGTGAAAGGGTGTGCTCTTTTTTCTTCTGGCTATGTTGCCCTCAAACACCTGGGCTCACTTGAGCCTCCTCCTGCCTCAGCCTCCCAAGTAGCTGGGATTACAAATGTGTGCAGCTGTGCCCGGCCTGAATGTGTGTTCTCAGACCACCCAAGCATCAAGGAATAGAGGTCAATGCAGTGTTTGCCCTCCTAGAAACTCCACTTCAGGCAAATTAAAGACTGAATAACCTTATTAAAAAGCCGGATTAAATAATAGGATCAGGCTCGGTGCCTGTAACACAGTGGTTATGGCACCAGCCACATACATCATCAAGGCTGGCAGATTCAAAACTGGTGTGGGCCAGCTAAACAACAATGAAACTACAACAAAAAATAGCCAGACATTGTGGTGGGTGCCTGTAGTCTCGCTACTTGCAAGGCTGGGGCAAGAGGATCGCTTAAGCCCAAGAGTTTGAGGTTGTTGTGAGCTGTGACGCCATGGCACTCTGCCAAGGGTGACAAAGTGAGACTGTCTCAAATAAATAAATAAATTGGGCAGCGCCTGTGGCTCTGTGAGTAGGGCACTAGCCCCATATACTGAGGACCACGTGGTGGGTTCAAACCCAGCCCTGGCCAAACCGCAACAAAAAAGTAGCTGGGCATTGTAGCGGGTGCCTGCAGTCCTAGCTACTCGGGAGGCTGAGGCAAGAGAATCACCTAAGCCCAAGAGCTGGAGGTTGCTGTGAGCTGTGAGGCCATAGCACTCTACCGAGGGTGACAAAGTGAGACTCTGTCTCTAAAAAAACAAACAAACAAACAAATATATAATAGGATCAGATAGGCCAATATTTTAATTAAACCTCTGTAAGCTCTTTAGATTTTATGTTCACTAACTGAAATAAAAAAGACAGCATGCTAAACAGAGTAGTTCTCCACATACTTCAAATTATTAGTGGTAACCATCTGCTTCTCCTCTTAACATGCTCACAGCCACAGTAACAAGTATGAGACCCACAGAAGAACACTACAGGCCCATCAAAGTTGCCTCTGAAATCAAATTAAAATTAAGCAAATGAACAAGGGAATAACAAATATTACCATCTTGGGTTCTGGTTTCTGGGAATTCTTTCCTGAGATGATACCGCTGTTTTGTAATCTTTTTTCTTTTTCCTGTTTTAGTTCTAACTCAAGCTGGTTCCTAGGACAGGTAGAAGAAAAAGATGAAAATTCAGATTTCTATACCCACATTCTTTAAAGAATAAAAACTCTTTTCTAAAGTTCAGTAATTAAGTGTTAATACTTGATTAATAACAAGTTACCAGGCACATACAGACAATCAGATTTAAAGTAATAAAATACAACAAAACCATTACAACTAAGCTAAATAAAACATGGGTAATTAAGAAGGTACTTTAGGACCTCCCAGAGCCTGAAGGTCACTACTCTGAATATCAGTATTTTATATTAAGAAGCAGTAGAATTGGCTATAAATAAAATACAGTATTTCTAAATTTTTGGCAAGATATAGTATGAGGCTCGGCACCTGTGGCTCAAGCGGCTGAGGCACCAGCCACATACACCTGAGCTGGCAGGTTCAAATCCAGCCAAACAATAACGATGGTTGCAACAACAACAACAAAAGATATAGTATGAAAAGACAGACATTACAGTCCATTTCATATCAATGAGCTATGTATCTAATCCCCAGTTATAGCCCCAACCCTCAGAGTCCTTAGTGGCTATCCATGTGCCTTACAGCCAACAGAGGTCTATTCTGAAGTCAGTGGCTTCAGCACAGAAGCACGTTGTCACTGAGGTATAAAATGGAAAAATGATTGAGGATGTGAAGTTAGAAAGATGGGTATTTATTTATTTATTATTTGTTTTTGAGACAGTCTCACTTTGTCGCCCTGGGTAGAGTGCTGTGGCATCTTAGCTCCCAGCAATGCCAAACTCTTGGGCTAAAGTGATTCTCTTACCTCAGCCTCCCGAATAGCTGGGACTTCAGGTTCCCTATCATAACACCCAGCTATTTTTTTAGAGATGGGGCCTCACTCTTGCTCAGGCTGGTCTCTAACTTATGAACTCAAGGGATCTACCCACCTTAGCATCCCAGGTGTGAGCTAGGATTACAGGAGAGAGCCACCATGCCAGGCTTATAGAGACAAGTTTTTAAATGGTAGTGTTACCACTTATTAGCTTAACTGTATGATTTAGCCATATTTAACCTCTATAAGCTTTAATTTCATTTGACGGTGGGGCAGTGACATCACCTACTAGAGAGGATGTGAAAATGTTCAGAGAGACTGCACATAAAGTACCTGCCATACAGTTAGAATCAGCAAATAGTAACAGATGATTGGTTTTTTGTTGGCTACTAATCAATATTTACCTGGGACCCTGGGCTCTAATTTCCCAATTCTTCAATCACAAAGGTTGCTTCCAGGACTTGTAAATGGGGGTGCACACTGAGCTCTCTGAATCCCAGAGAAAGGACAGAGCTGACACTCAGAGTCAGGAAGCCCCTCCACCTGCAGCCTGACCTCAGAAGCACACAGACCGCTCTAGTTGCCCCCTCACCGATGCCTGGTGAGCTCCTCCACTTCCAGCTGTAGACTATTAATCTTGTCTCCAAAATCCTGCTTGAAGAGCCGGTTGTCCAACTCAGCAGACTGGCGGTCTCGCTCAGCCTGGCGCAATCTGGATGTGAGCCACATGAACTTGTGATAAAAAACAAAAGCCACGTGGGGGGGAAGACCAAGTTCACAACACAAAATAAAGTAACCCAAGGAAGAAGGCGCAGAGAGACTGAGCAAGGAAAAAAACGTTGAAGGACAAAGGGGAAGAAATCATAGGGGAAAAAGATGGAGAAGAAACAAATTCTAAAGAAAAACAAGATGAAGGTGAACCAGGCAGAGGAAAACTGATTTCCACTTTTTTTTATTCTAGTGCTACAGTTTACAGCCATCAGATGATAAACAATAAAACATCACTTCAGAAAATCCATATCCAAAGCCAACCTCAAGTACACAATAATTTAGATTAAATCCATTTTTGTGTTTTTATTTCCTAATAGGTTTGGTACTTTTTATTTCCCTTTAACAAACATAACTGGAACTTGCAAATAGATAACTACTTTCTTATACGTTGAATTATAGTGTTTCTCTTGCCCTTTCTCCACACCATACATATCCAACCACCAAACTTTATACATCAGCCTGTACCCAGGCTTTGGGTTATTCTATAATGAAAACATTCTGTCAAGAGTTTGGCTGCCTCTTTCCTTTCCATCCCTCTAACACCAAGTGGGTCTGGCTGTGAGGACAGAGAACTCAGCACTGGGCCTGTGTAAGACTCCTGACCACACTCTCTGGGAGATCTGATGGACGCTTCCTTCTAAACATCTTACACTTCTGCACCTATAAAACCACGTGTTTTAGAAGGTAAAGCATTTGGGACTTTATATAATAGAATTTAGAACTATAATGTAGTCTTCAAAAAGTTTTATTTTGGTGTTTGATCACTCCTTCCAAATGCTCATAGCAAAGGCGACTCATTACCACAAAAGGCTGATGAAGGTAGGAATATATACTAAGAGCTTCCTTTATATAGGTGCAAAATTGTAAGAACTAAAGCAAGTTCAGGAACACAGATCTTCCACAAAGTGGTTCTAAATGTATGTTATTTGACTTGATTTTGATTCAAGTCTGTACAGGGACCAACGCAAGCACACAAGAGTTCTAACTTACTCTCTTAATTCTGGTTTTGCCAAAAAGGCAAAGAAGGTGGAAGCAAATGGGTCATCTTTGCCCCAACCTCAGCAGCTGAAATGCTGCAAAGCATACCAGAATGAGAAAAAAGAAAAACCCAAATATTTTGCCAAGACCTTTTGAAGGAATAAAGGCTTATGTGAAGCCTGTCAAAAAAAGTCATCCTAAAATATCAAAGTATTTATAGGATTATTTACAATGTAAAGCCTAGAAAGGGTTAGGTATGTGGTCACTTAGAAAAAGCAGCCCTGCTAATATTGCTTGTGGGTTATCTACTGAAAATCTTTATTTTCATACTAAATGATAACAAAGAATAAAAGTTTATCATGTATCTATTTTCTATGCTGAAATATTCTTCCAATTATGAAATTATTCATTTTCCAGGAACTTTAGCAAATCCTCATCTAAACAAAAAGTAACAGAAACGCTTAACTAAATGCTTGTCAGTAAGGACTGATGGACAGGGAGTCGCCACTGACACCTGCACCTTGTCCTCTGCTCCAATAGGAAAAGCTGGGTAGGTGTGAAACCGTGTGATGTGTTTTCTACAGGAGAGGAGTGCTGTTATTAAAATTAGTCTCTCTGAGCTAGGTCGGAAGTAGAACTGCAGGAAATGGCAAAGGCAGGAGATGACAAGTCTTAGGAGGGTCCCCAATCTTCCATGTTATTATGTTATCACAGGCTAATCACTAACTTCATCTCTGAGTACTTTAAAGAAATGTAGGTGCCGTTTTTTAGTTGTTTTTTGAAGTCACTAAGCTAAACAGTTGTAAGCAGTCTTGGTTATGAGACAGGACCACAATGAAGTAGTAAGCACTCGTGGGCTTAGGGACTAAATCTGTAACCCAAGTAAAAAGGGGTCACAGCCTTGCGATGGGAGCGACTTTAGAGCAGGGGCAGCTCACCTGTGGCCCCTCCCACTCATCACACTGCGAGCAGCACAGGCTCGCTGACACGGACACGCACACCCACATCCCTAGGACTGGCTTGGAAAGGCATCATGAATGTATATACAGAGCTTCAATTCCCTACACTTTGTTTTTTAATGATGTCTTAATTTATTGGTCAACTCAGAAGTAATTTCCCAGTTTATTTAGCATTTAGTTAGGAACTTATACCATTTTTCTAACTCTGGGGAAAAACTTATACCATTTTCTAACTCTGGGGAAAAAATAATAAGAAAATAACTCAACCTATATATCCAAGTGTTTTTTTAAAAGTCAGACAAATTCTAAGTCAAGTTTTGGTAACGTTTTGTAAAGAATAAAAGCCTAAACACAGTAACTTTCAGATTTCTTCCTTTTGCAAGTTAGATGTGGTATTGACTTGCAAGGTGACCAACGGCACCTTTCCTAATGATGTTTTGGGATCAGCTTATTTGCTGCACTATTTAAGGTCTTTGCCTGTTTCACCAAATCCTTCTCACTAAATAAAATAAAAATGAGAATGGAGTGGAAGGGGAATGAGAAAATGAATAAACATGAAACACAAAAATAGCAAGAGAATAAGTTAGCTTAATACTTGAAAAGATAAGTCATTATTTCAGTTCTGTTTTAAATTCTAACTAAAAAAGCCACTAATAGACATATTTGAACATTATTTATGAACACTAAAATTGATGATATATCATAAACATGTAACTGCTTATGAGCAAGTACTTAATAACTTTCTAATAAAAAGGAGACATAACCTTTTATTTATCAGCCACACTAGAGTTAACTGCAATTAACTTTTGAATTAACATTAGTATGTACTATTGTTCAGGACTCTTCTGGGTTAAGAATTATATGAGTAAAACCAGTCACCCACTCATCCATTCACTCGTGTGTCTGCAGAATGAGTGCCAGACAGTGTGATAGGTGTAATGAGGAACAAAGAAGATTAGCAAAGAAATGAGGAGTTTGCACTCTCCCTAGAAAAAAAGAAACACACACAAAGGGCTAGGAGGTAGAGCAGGCAGGGAGAAGTGCTCTACGCATCACAAGTAAGGTCTGCATGTAAGGGATGGGAATTCCATCTACCTGGGGTGGCATTTGACCTGATCATAAAAAAAAGTGTCTGAAGAACAAGGAAGGGCATTTTTAATTGGTGACTAAGTGGGCATTAAAGGCGGAAACATCCAACTACCTGAGTGGGTTGGATTCAACCTTGAGGTCTCAAACACTCCTCTTGGCTACTGAGGCACTAGCAGGAACATGCTGCTTTCAGACCAACAGAAGTAGAGAACAGCAGGGGAAGGTGGGATTTGGGCAGACTGCAGGCCCTGGGGGACACAGCTGCCAGGGCATGAAAACTCTAGACCACTCTCCAGCTCAGAGCTGGAGAAGCACACTAGAGGTGACAATGACAGCTACAGGACTGTTCAGGACAGAGCAGAGAGCAAAGAGAAAGAGGAGAAAAGGGTTAAAGTTAAGGAAAGGAGAGAAAGAGCCAGAATAGACCCTAGGCAGGCATCTATCTCCATGTCCCAAAGTATCCAAAGACTTTAGTGATGAACAAGAAGAAGATCACAGACTCACAAACAGGCCTTTAAAAGTCCTTTCATCCTTCTAAGTCATCTTTCCTGACACATCTTTTTCTGATGTTCAAAACAGTCATGATAAACTGACATTTCTTAAAAATGTGTTCAGTCATATCTTAGAAAGCACACACTAACTTAATCAGCTTTCTTTCAACCAGCACGCTGATGCTGAGTTGGAAGAATCGCATATGCTTTGTTTTCCGAGTGCACACCACATTCTTTCTTCACTTCCCACGTGCACAGCCCAAGACATTTCATTAAGGACACAGCACGTTTACCTTTGTTCCAGCTGTTTAATGGTAGCAGCCATCTGATTAGTCTTTTCCTCCAAGCGACTATTTAGTTCACTTTTCTGTTTTACTCCTAAGTCCGAACTCTGTTATGGAAATGAATTATAAATGACCTATATAACATAAAATATTGAAATATAATTCACATTTTTTTTTTTTTGAGACAGAGTCTCACTCCACCCTGGGTAGAGTGCCGTGGCGTCACAACTCACAGCAACTTCAAATTCTTGGACTCAAGCCATCTAAGATCTTGCCTCAGCCTCCCGAGTAGCTGGGATGACAGACGCCCACTAAGTTTTTGTATCTCTAGTAGAGACAGGGTCTTGCTCTTGCTCGCCTAGAACTCCTGAGCTCAAGCAATCCACCTGCCTCAGCCTCCCAGAGCGCTGAGATTACAGGCATGAGCTACCGCATCAGGCCCATACATCCCTTTTAAACCTAATGGTATGTGGGAAAATAAAAATGCTTATATGTTTGTTTACCAGATAAATCTCAAACAGAAAAAAGCCAATTTGTTTAAAATTAGTATTGTTATATGCAGTCTTACCACAGAATCAGAAGGTCCACTGACTTTCCAGTATATAAGCTAATAGAACATATAACTCAGTATGTTAGGCTAGAGAACAGAAGTTCTACAGGATAAAAAAGATCCTCACCCCCTATTACATGTGAAAAGTGGCCAAGGCTTTCCAGGACCCCATGACGGTCTGACTCTTAAAGTTGCATCAACACAAGATGTGACCTTTCCCTCTTGTGTTTAAAGTGTAATTCTAATGAACAAGAAGGGGAGAGTGAAGCCCTAGGAGCTTGGACAGCCACTGACTCTCATCCTCAACTTTCTCCTACCTGCAGCTTAAAGGCAAGTTCATGCTTGAGAGCCCTGAGGTCATCCAGCTGCTGCCGCAGAGACACCAGGGCGTCCTGCTTCTCACAGACATCCTTCTCCAGCATTTTCATAGCTAGTTCCATCTCTTGTCTCATGCTGATCTGGAACTCCAGTTCTTTTTCAACATCCTGCTCCCAAAGGTAGGTAAATTACTTACATTCTCTTTCCTCAACTGAGTACCAACCATAATATCTCACGGGAAAAGACACACAGAATTTCCCAGGCCTGAATGCTCTGGCAAAATAGTTGTAAGTTATCATTCATTTTCAGAGACATATAGAGAGATTTACTCAATAATGTACAAATCTGACAAGCTTAGCACTTTCCTGCTAAACCAGAAAGTGCTGTTTAATGTCTAAAATACGCACATAGTTGAGGCACTTTGTTAAGACATTGAGACAACTGACGTCATGTCCAACTGTAAATACAGGTAGGTGTCATGGTAGTCAGCACAAAGTCCAACAGCTGAATTCCCTAAATTTGAACATTGATATGTATTTAAGAGCCTTAGGAACTTAGAAGACCCTCTAGGTACCATGGGTAACATGTCAATTACTAGAAACAGCCAATATGGCTTAACAGAGTTTTTAGATTCACTTCACATGAACCCCCCTTCTGTTTCAACATTCTTACAGCTACATTATTCAGATGATCAAAGACACACAGACCTAAGGTCCTTCTATGACCACGCTGTACTCAGGGCACATCTAAGACACTGTCTAGTTTTTTAATTTCTTCCGTTACTAACAAACGTCTTATTGTGACACAAGGATACGGAACATTTTAAGATTTTTATCATGTACCACTTAACTGGGACTTCCCTCTTTTGCATGATTATTAGTGTGACAGAAAATCAAACATACCACTTCTTTCTTTTTGGAGAAAGGTTCTCACTCTGTCCCCTAGGCTGGAGTGCAGGAGCCCAATCATAGATCACAGACTGTAACCTCAAACCTCAGGGCTCAGGAGATTCTTTTCCTTCAGCCTTCTAGTAGCTAGGACTATATGCCCAGTTAAATTTTTTTTTTTGAGGGGTAGAGACAGGGTCTTGCTACATTGCTCTGGCTGGTCTTGAACTCTGGCCTGAAGTAATCCTCCCACCTCGGCCTCCCAAAGTGCTAGGATTACAGGACTGAGCCATCACACCTGGCCTGTTCTCCTAGCTTCTATCAGAACTTCTTAGATTCCATAAATGAGTGAGATCGTACAGTATTTCTCTCTCTGTGCCTGGTTTATTTCACTTAACACCATGTTGTTTAGGTTTACCCATGTGACTACAGATTACAGACTTTCCCTGTTTATCAAGGAGGAATGTGTTCCGCTGTGCACACATGTTTCTTATACATTCATCTACTGATTCCCTGTCTTGGTTATTGTGAACAGTGCTGCAATACAGATAACTGTTTGATACACTGATTTCCTTCTTTTGAATATATATCTAGTAGTAGGATTGTTGGATCATACAGTAGTTGGCAGTTCTATTTTTAATTTCAAGTAACATCTACACTGTTTTCCACTGAACAGTGTCAATGTTCCTTTTCTCCACTCCTTGCCAATACTTAGCTTTTGATTTTTTGATAGTAGCGATTCTGACTGGAGATTATACTTCATATTATAAATATATATATATAATTTCTAAAAGAAAATAAAGCTAATACTGGATGACAAATTTATCCATTTATATCTAAGACCAAGAATAATTTAAGAAATGACAGCTAAAAATAAGAGTATAATTCTGTATTAATGGTTCTTTTTAAGAGGAAGAGGAACTGTCCACTCCAAGGAGACATATCACAATCTTTGCAGGGATGAGGATGAGGCCGAAGAGGGGATTACATAATTTTAAAAAGTAGGTTCTATACACCTAATGTTTTTATAATACAAACTATAAAGGCAAAAAGGTAAAGACTGGCAAAATATTATCACTTTTGAGAATACTCAGAAAAGGACTAAGAAAACGTTACAGGGAATGTGGGTTGAAAAGAAAAACAGTTTTACAGGATCTATACAAATTTTTCAGAACACTACTGATACCCCTAATCTTAGCCTGAACAATCAAGCCTCTAAGTAGATCAGCGGTTCTCAACCTGTGGGTTGTGACCCCCTTTGGAGGTTGAATGACCCTTTCACAGGGGTTGCCTAAGACCATCCTGCATATCAGATATTTACATTATGATTCATAACAGTAGCAAAATTACAGTTATGAAGTGGCAACGAAAATAATTTTATGGCAGGGGGTCACCACAACATTAGGAACTATATTAAAGGGTCGCAGCATGAGGAAGGTTGAGAACCACTGAAGGCGACAGTCACCTTTTCCTGTGCTCCTCAATTATTTAATCTTAGCAACCCTCACCAGTCGCAACTGGGTCTCCTCCTTCAAATGCTTCCTTGCTTCACTCAGTGCTTGGCCTTCTGGCATTCTGTCTTGCTTCGGACCCTTAAAAAGATAACAAAATGGTACATATTAAAGGATTTAAATAACCTGCTTGGAATTAGCAGACACTACAACTGCTCTCCAGTTAAGGATCACACCTAAGCAGGTATAACCTCAAGACAATTTAAAGAAAGTAAGTCAGTACATTTTAAAAGATTAAGCAGAGAGTTTCCTGCCACTTTATTTAAAATCCTAAGATATGTTACCAAACCAGGTGGTAGTAGTTTTAAAAATCAGCCTTGTGGCAAACAGGAGTTGGGCCCAAGGCTTACAGGGTCCAAGCTGTTCCCCAGACACCTGACCCCTGGCATCTAGGGCTGTGCAGAGACCACAGCTAAAAATAAGTAGGTCAGCAAACATTCTCTGAAGGGTCCCAGTTTCCTCCATTAAGTCAAACATGTTCCCCATGAACTGCTTCAGCCCCAGCCAGAGCCTGGGGACTCTGCAGGAGCAGTTCTGTAACTATGGATATTTGGATTCCCAGGTTAGAAGCATAAAGACAAAGAGAAGTGAAAAGACTTCTCTAGCGATAGCAGCACTAGTGGTAATAAAAAGTATGACATGAACTCACAAAAGGCAGGGGGAAAAACACCCACAGCACTGACAAGTATCTGAGCGTAGGTGCTAGAAGCGCATCAGTCTCCACTGCCTCCCAAAGTGGTACTGCTCTAACTGAGTACAAACTGCCAATGTTGATAAATGTGATCTTGGCCATCATAAATGGCTAAATGTGTTAAAAATTATGTCCTTAATCAATAAGGTGTATGTGTTTTCTTTGTTTTTAGAGGGAAAAAAGAAGGCTTGGATTTGTACAGTACATAAAAGGTTTGCAAAATTAGAGTAGACATGTATGAAAAGGCTGGTGCTCTAAGGAACTAAGTTATTTATAAAAATCACTTACATGGCAACTCTCAGTGACATCAAATGATAAGGTCTCATTTATATAACAGTACCATGACATAAAAATAATGGCATTTATTTAACATAACAGATATAATAGTTAAATATAGCACAAATCATTAGTTTATGTAAACAAGACCCTGAATTAGAGTATTTCTTAAAAGCCTCTAAACAGATGTGGTTGGCAACAAAGCCAGGTAGTACCTTGTAGAAAAGGGGTGCTCTGCCACAACTTCCATTGTGCACCTGGGACACAACCAACCCCAACAGTGCGCTCCACTCAAGACACTGCTGCTTCAGACAGTCCTCAGAGCAGCAGTTCCCAGCCTTCTTGGCACCAGGGACCAGATTAATGGAAAACATTTTTCCTGGAGGTGGGGTGAGGATGATGGGGAGATGGGGAGGCGAGCAGGCGGCGATGTGAGCCACAGGGAGCAGCTATAAATACAGACCAGGCTTTGCTTGCTTTGCACTGCCCACCTCCTGCCGTGTGGCCTGGGTTCCTAAGCTGTACTGGTCTGTAGCCCAGCAGTTGGGAACCGTAGCTCTAGAGATGCCCCCCTACCACTAACACATGTTCTCTCTGAATATTTTATAAATCCAGTAAGATTAACCTTTCGATTGGATTCCAGTATGTAGGAACTTTCCTCCTTAACTCGTTCCATTTCTTCTTGCAAGGTAATAATCCTGTTGTTTGCAACTGCAAGCTGTTGATAAAAGTTTAAAAATAATCTTTTACAATTAACATAGTAAATGGTAAGTCATGATTTGCTAGGGCATAATTTTCAGTGTTGGATATCCTTAGGAAGAAAGCAAGCTCTCTAAAACCTAGGAAGAAGGTTCTAACAGGGAACTCAGGAGAAATACTTTATTTTTGTTCTTTTTGGGAGACGGACTCTCACTTTATCGCCCTCAGTAGAGTATCGTGGCGTCACAAGCTCACAGCAACCTTTACTCTTGGGCTTAGGTGATTATCTTGCCTCAGCCTCCCAAGTAGCTGGGACTACAGGCGCCCACCACAACACCCGGATGTATTTTTGTTGTAGTTTGGCCGGGGCTAGGTTTGAACCCTTGGTAAATATGGCCAGCACCTTACCCACTGAGCCACAGGTGCCACCCAGGAGAAATATTTTTAAAGTAGATTAAAATAAAAACAAAAAATATCTCCTATTATAGCTGCTTTTTATGTGCAAACTTTTTTCAGTGCCAAAAAGTTAAGACTGTTTATCTCAAGGGTGTAATCATATTTAGTAAGAATATCTATTTCTAAAATGTTTAATAAAGAGGTCACCTTATGCCATGAGACCCATGTCACAAACCCTCCATGAGACCTTTTATAGATATATACGTATATATTTTTGAGACAGAGTCTTACTCTGTCACCCTGGGTTGAGTACCATGGTGTCAGCCCAGCTCACAGTAACCTCAAACTCTTGGGCTCAAGTGATCCTCCTGCCTTGGCCAAGTAGCTGGGACTTCAGGCACCTGCCATGACACGTAGCTAGTTTTTCTGTTTTTGGTAGAGAAGGGATCTTACTCAGGTTCCTCTTAAACTCCAGAGGTCAAGTGATTCTCCAGTCCTTGCCTTCCAGACTGCTGGGATTACAGGCATGAGCCATGGTGTCCAGCTAGATAATTTTAAAAGATTAAAGAACCCCAAAGTTCTCACTCTAAAAGATCCTGTTAAACACTGAAGAGATTTCACTTCAGCACCTAAAAAGGTGAGGTAATGTTATTAGCAATATGCTGCTAAGGGAAACACCTATGTCCCCTTTCCATAGGAGGGAAAAGAGTAGTGGAAAGGCTTCTTGCTTCCCCACGCCTTCCAGACTCCCAGAGAATGTGAAGCCCCCCGCCCCCGCCGGCTGCTCCTGTTTCATCGCCTCCTCTCTAGAGGGAGGTGCAGGCCTGCTCAGCTCTCCTGTGACAGGGAAAGTACAGAGAAGCCAGGCTTCAGGCAGGCTTTCTGGAAGCCCATTTCTCTTTTTGGTCTTTGGGCCTAATAATATGGAGAACAGTAATTCTGGGCCAGTAGGTTTGCCCTCTAGAAGCAAGCTCGCCCTCAGGCAGGTCACTGCAAGACTCTGACTGAAGAGAAAGTGTCAGGATACCTATAGTGACTGCAGATCCCAGGGGGCTTTTAATTTAACTTTACTGATAATCAAGTAGATTATTTGTACCTTCATCTGCTTAATTCTTCACTTTGTCATTTTAGTTCAGAGCATCTGAAGGGAGAAGGTCTATTATCTTTTTTTACTAATCCTCTTAAATCCAAAAATGGAAGTAAGAACAAGCAAACCCGGTAACTTTACTCGTTCTCTGTGATGTGCACATGGTGCTCTCAGCTCTACATGTTCAGGGTCTCAGAAAATAAGTGTTACCGGTAAAATAAACAATTATTCGAATAAATGAATATTGTTAGGGTAATAAGTCTAAGTCAGAAAGACAAGTGTGACTGAGTGCTTATGATGGCCCCACTCTAGGCCCCCATCACATACTGAATCATTTAATTCATGCAATAACCTTCTAAGACAGTATTATTGTTACTCTCATTTTACTACTGAGAGGAATAGAGGAAGGAATAGAGGCTTGAGTAGTTGGTCCAGGACTAGAAAGCTCACAGTGTCAGAACCAAGTCATGAACCCAAGGGGCCCAGCCCAGAGCCCAGCGAGTGGCTGGTCATATGCCTGGTAGGATGTTTCTGTGCTAAACACTCCAAAAGCCAGTGGGATAATGTTCTAAGCATTATATCCATAAACTAAAATTTAAAAATTTTAATATGTATGAAAAATTTAAGAGTTTTCATCCAAAAATGAAGTCCACAGAGTTGAGTAATAAGAGAGGCATTTAAAAATTATAATGATGAAAATGTTTGGGCGGTGCCTATGGCTCAAAGGAGTAGGGCGCTGGCCCATATGCTGGAGGTGGTGGGTTCAAACCTAGCCCCAGCCAAAAACTGCAATAAATAAATATATAAATAAAAATAAAAAAATTATAATAATGAAAACATTCATTCTGAAGAAAAACTGGTTAAATAGTACTTTTCTAACTGGTTAAATAGCACTTTTCTAAATGAATTTCATTTCATTTAAACCAAACTATCTCACTATATGTAATAGGATCATTATAATCAGAAATAATGAAGATAAACTCTTTGCCACCTGGATAATTTAATATCTTTCAAAGAAACATCTAATGCCATTTAATGAAAACACTCCTGTAACTTATCCTTTGGCTTTTGTTAATCAGAAGTAAAACAGGAAGTTGTTTTTCTGTTTTTATGTTAGGGATTTTTCTAAGAATTTTCATATACATGTCTATTTTTATCTGCTCTTCAGAGAATTACGAAGTTAAAAGGGAAGCAGAGGCAAATGCTGCTATCTGCATGGGAGGGAAACGGGCATGATGGTCAGGGGGGCGTCAGGGGGCTGGCCAGCTCATAGGCTGTGCATCTCAGTAGGCAGGGATCACTGCACTCCTCATCTCATCTGTCTCACTGTCCCAAGGAGAAAACAAGGATGTGGAGGGAGAGAAGTCTGCCAGTCTGGAACACACAGGTCAGGCCTGGCACATACCATCTCTGTCTACTCTTGCATAGTACCCAGAACATTCTTTTGAATGAATAAATGACAAGTATCATGCTAGATGCTAAACATTTGCTTTAGGCTAGCCTAGACAAAAACTCTCTCAAAAGAAACCCAGATTCTTGACCAGCCAGGTAAAGGAGACCCCTCCCCGTGCAGTGATGATGCCCTACACCCGGCTGACTGGCCACTCAGCTTAGAATAAGGACTCACCCACTGCAGCAGCTGTCAGATGCCAAGTCCTTCAGGCTTGCACAGAAATTACTGGTTCTACTAAGGTCCACTACTAAACTCTGTAAGTCAATTAAAGAATTTCCAAAATACTTACCTCCTCTGTCAGTTTAGTGTTGGATTTTTCTAATGCATCCACTTTTGCCTGGAGGTTATTTACAGTAGCACTATCAAGAGAAGAAAAACAAAGGCTTCTTTTGAAAAACCAGAACAATACCCTCTATCTTCCTTTTCAAACACACTCATCGCTGTCTACTGTCCACAATTCTTGTTTTTTTTTCTTTTTTTTTGAGCCAGAGCCTCAAGCTGTCACCCTGGGTAGAGTGCTGTGGGCTCACAGCAACCTCCAACTCCTGGGCTCAAGCAATTCTCCTGCCTCCGCCTCCCAAGTAGCTGGGACTACAGGAGCCCACCACATCAGCCAGCTATTTTTTGGTTGCAGCTGTCATTGTTTTTGGCAAGCCTGGGCTGGATTCAAATCCACCAGCTCAGGTGTATGTGGCTGGCGCCTTAGCTGCTTGAGCCATAGGCACTGAGCCATAATGTCCACAATTCTTGACAAATTCTGGGCTTACAAAGGGCATGTCTACCTTACCAGCTGTATCTTTGAGACTAGAGTTTGAACTCATTTAAGTATTATGTATTTGTTCAGTGAAATAAAAGAGGCAACTTACTTCACAGTGAATTCAAGCTGTCTGACCATAACAGGCTGCGTAGATTTAGTGCTGACATGTAGCAAGCACTTTGCTAACTTACGTGACTTGTGTTATTTCATATCTTCCTTTGAACAACTCTGTATTAGGTATTCCCAAGTACAGATAAAAAAATCTGAGGCATGGAAATTGTAAATAATAGTGTCGTCATCATTTCTATTTCACTATCAAGTGTAATTGTAACTTTGCTTGGCTAATTTCTCCACCAGTCATTATAATCATTAGTTCTTGGCCCCCAGAAAAAATACTTAAATTGTCCTTGAATTTGCCAGCTGGAACCAAGCCTACTTAAAATTTATATTGATACTAGTATAATTGTATTAGAGGTCTTATCAGAGGTCTTAATTAAATTAAAATGGCTGTCTTTCATAAGAGAACTATAAATAAGATAATTGACGAATGTATTAATCATTCTTCTGAACTCTTCAGCAGTCTTTACCATAACAGAACATAATACTGAGAATACCAATAGCTTTTGGACAGCTCTCCTCAGAAGAGAGAAAACTGTTTCATGCCTTGGACAGCTCAAAAATACAGCAGTCCCCCTTATCCACAATGCTCACTCTCCATGGTTTCAGGTACCCACCATCAACAGGGGTCTGAAAACAGCTGAGTACAGCACAGTGAGACATGCTGAGAGAGGGAGGAACACACACCACTTTTATGATAGTATGTTCTTAAAATTGTCCTATTTTATTTATTATTAATCTCTTACGGTCGGTCCCTAATTTATAATTTAAAGTTTATTACAAGTATGCATGTATAGGAAAAGGCATAGTGCACCAAAGGTTTGGGATTATCTGTGACTCCCGGCACCCAGTGAGGGTCTTGGGAAGGATTCACTGCAGATAAAGGGGACTACTACTATACCTGGTGAATCACTGGTAGTGAAGCTGAAGAAGGGAAACTAATGTATTAATTAGTTTCTGCTCTTCAGAGAATTATGAAGGCAAAATGCTGCCATCTGCCCAGGAGGGAAAGGGACGCGATGGTCAGGGGGCCGCCAGGGGGCCGGCTGGCTCGTAGGCTGTGCATCTCAGTAGGCAGGGATCAATTCAATGTATAAATGTGAAGAGAAATGATTAACCCAAAAGTGCTAAAATAATGAGTGGTTTGCCCAAGATCAACCCTGAAATGTATGGCTGTTATCTACTAAGCCCAGGGAGCCACCAATTTCAACTGTATGCCACATGTTTTTTTTTTTTGAGACAAGAGTCTCACTTTGCCACCCTCAGTAGAATGCCATGGCATCACAGCTCACAGCAATCTCTACCTCTTGGGCTTAAGTGATCCTCTTGCCTCAGCCTCCCAAGAAGCTGGGACTACAGGTGACCACCACAACATTGGTTATTTCTTTATTTCTTTTGAGACAGAGTCTCAAGCTATTGCCCTGGGTGGAGTGCCATGCATCACAGCTCATAGTAACCTCCAACTCTTGGGCTTAAGCGATTCTCTTGCTCAGCCTCCCAAGTTGCTGGGACTACAGGCACTGCCAAAATGCCTGGCTCTTTTTTTTTTTAATTGTTGTAGTTGTCAATGTTGTTTTAGCTGGCCGAGGCCTGGGTTTGAACCTACCAGCTGAGGCGTATGTGGTGCCATTGGCTATTTTTTTAGAGATTAGGTCTTGCTCTAGTCTTGAACTGGTGAGCTCAGGCAATCTACCCACCTCGGTCACCCAGAGTGCTAGAAAGGAAGCACTGGGCCTGGCCTTATGTCACATGACATAAAAATCCTTAACTGAATGGATTTTTTCACTAGAGCTATAATTACATACTAATCTTAACTGCCTTTCACTAAAGGTTACTAATTAGCTACATGCTGTTTACTGAGTGCCTAACTCAGTGCCTGGCAAGCAGGAATTCCGTATGCATCTGTTGAGTGTTGATGGAATTGATCCTCATTGCTCCACATTCTACCCTTTCTTTCTCCCTCAGCAATTCCCAAGTAATATATTTATTACTTCAGGTGTCTGTTGAGTTCTTCTACATAGTTCTTCTGGTCCAGAATTGCAGTAATCTGACCATCTCTGTGAGAGAAAAAGAAGAAAAAATACAAATAAAATAAGTAACATCAAAAATACCCAGAACCTGATACCTCTCCATCTTTTCATAAAACAGGAGGAAAAACAAGAAGGCAGACTTGATGCATAATCCCCTCGACATATCACCCAGAAAAACTAAAAAATTTAGAAACAAAAAAATACATTAATGAAGCGTTTGTTGTAACTTACAAACCTTAATAATTTAGGTTACAGGGAGGACGTTATAATCTATCAGAGGCATTCTTCTTTTAACAGGTTTTTCAGCTTTGCTTGTATTATTTATAGTAGCAATTTTCTACTTGTCACAGAACTGAATTAAGCTCACTCTAGTGGGCTCAGCGCTCAGAGCATAGTGGTTAGGACACTAGCCACATACACCGAGGGTGGCAGGTTCGAACCCGGCCGGGCTAGCTAAACAACTGCAACAAAAAAATAGCTGGGCATTGAAGTGGGCGCCTGTAGTCCCAGCTACTGGGAGGCTGAGGCAAGAGAATCGCTTAAGCCCAAGAGTTTGAGATTGCTGTGAACTGTGATACCATAGCACTCTACCAAGGGCGACCTAGTGAGACTCAGTCTCAAAAAACCAAAAACAAAAACAAAATTCACTCTAGTACAATATGCTTGTTCTCAAAGGCTACATACTTGGCTTTAAGTGCTATTTACATTCAAAGTGAATGGTATAAAAAGCTTTCCCAAAGATCAAGTACTTTTCTTACTTGAGAAAATGAAGTGTGGAAAAAGGGGGTTACTAGAACCAACTTATGTATAATAGGCAAAAGTTAAACAGCCAAGCTTTTCAACTAAAAGTCAAAATTAAGGACACAAAGAACAAGTGACATGATCTGAGCTTACTACCCAAGGTTAGAAACATTAGAGGAAGGCCAGGTGTGGTGGCCTACTCAGCTCAGGAGTTCTGGACCAGCAAGAGTAACACCCTGTCTCTATTAAAAATAGAAAAACTAGTGGGAAATGGTAGCAAGCACCTGTAGTCCCAGCTACCAGGAGGCAAAGGCAGGAGGATCACTTGAGCCCAGGAGTTTGGGGTTGCTGTGAGCTAGGCTGAGGCCATAGCACTCTAGCCTGGGCAACAGAGTAAGACTCAGTCTCAAAACAAACAACCAACCAAACAAACAAACTACCAAATAAACCCACATCAGACTAATTATACTTTAAATTCCTAAATTTATAAATGGTATAAAATACAGTTCTGATTTTTGATTACTAAGCACCATAGTATTTTTGAAACTTTGCATTTTGAAATAATTTTAGGTGTACTGAAAGAGTTATAAACACAGTACAGAGATCTCCTATGGCCTGTACTCAGCTCTTACTGAAAGAGTTATAAACACAGTACAGAGATCTCCTATGGCCTGTACTCAGCTCTTACTGAAAGAGTTATAAACACAGTACAGAGATCTCCTATGGCCTGTACTCAGCTCTTCCAATGTTGGTATTCTACATTAACTCCATCATGCATACTGCAAATTTTAAGCAAACTGATTTATGATGAAAATGCAATTCCTAGATGTGGGGAGAAGGGAACACTTTTACACTGCTGGTGGGACTGCAAACTAATACAACCTTTTTGCAAGGAAGTATGGAGAATCTGAAAAGAACTCAAATTAGACCTTCCATTTGATCCTGCAATCCCATTACTAGGCATCTATCCAGAAGAAAAAAAATCCTTTTATCATAAGGACATTTGACTGGACTGTTTATCACAGCTCAACTTATAATCACCAAAACATGGAAACAACTTACATGTCTACCAACCCAGGAATGTATTAATGAGCTATGGTATATGTATACCACATACCTAAAAAAGATGGGAGACTTTACATCCTTTGTATTAACCTGGATGGAAGTGGAACATGTTCTTCTTAGTAAAGCATCACAAGACTGGAGAAGCAAGAATCCAATGTAGTCTATTCTAATATGAAGGCAGTAGATGAGCTAATACAAGGGGTACTAGGGTAGGTAAATGAGCAAGTGGGGAGAGGGGAGGAGGGGGAGGTTGCGGGGTCACGGTGTACGACACACCTCTTGGTGGAAGAACACAATTGTAAGAGGGACTTTACCTAACAAATGCAATGAGTGTCATCTAATTCTTTCTACCTTCAATGAATCCCAAACAATAAAAAAAAAAAGAGAGAAACAAACAAAAAAGAAAATACAATCCCTCTGGTCAAAGCAACCATGTTTAAAATCCCACTACAGAGATGGACAATTGGATTCCTTTTATAAACTTTTATTTTGTTTGCTCTTGAACCACACAGCAGGGAAGTCACTCAACTAAAAACATTTTTAGGATTTAGCAGCAGGCATAACAGGTGTATTTCGCAAGGCTTTATTAAACCTGTACCATCAGTAATTCTTTCAGCAAGTCTGTTAAGGCAGCTCTTTTTTTTTTTTGCAGTTTTTGGCCAGGGCTGGGTTTGAACCTGCCATATCCGGCATATGGGGCCGGCACCATACTCCTTTGAGCCACAGGTGCTGCCCTAAGGCAGCTCTTTTATGAACTTTAAATACTATCAAAGACAAAATAATACTACATCAGAGAAAAAAAGAAACGTAATTTTCTTTGCACATACCCTTCACTCCCTTTACTGCTGTTTCCATCCTTGAGATACATTGAAAAATCTATAACTCCAACCTGCAGAGAGAATTTTCAGAATTAATATAAAATTAGACACTTTTTACAAGGCATAATACAATGTCTCTTTTTAGGCACTCAAAATAGTAACATAATCATGTCAATTAATAGGAATTTATGATAAAAATTTAATGTTTTACTTTCAGTAAAGAATTGACAAGATCAGAATTAAGTAAAGATTCATGAGTAAGTCAACTAGATCTAAAAGACCAGCTCATGATTAAGACAGTCAACAGAATACTTGATATAAAGAAAGTTTAAAAGTTTCTTTCTTGGCTCATGTGTGTTATCCCAGCACTCTAGGAAGCTGAGGAGGGAGGATTCCTTGAGCTCAGGGGTTCACACCAGGCTGAGCAAAAGGGAGACTCTCTAATAAAAACAGAAAAATTAGGCAGCTATAGTGACCCTTTCCTGTAGTCTCAGCTATCTGGGAGTTGGAGGCAAGAGGATCACTTGAGCCCAAGAGTTTGAGGTTGCTGTGAGCTGTGATGCCATAGCACTCTACCCAGGGTGACTGAGACGGTCTCAAAAAAAGAACAAACAAACAAAAAACAGTTTCTTTCTCTTTTGCTTATATTAGATATTCTGCTACTGAATGTTCACTTTTAGAAATAACATTTAAAAATTAAATAGTTACAAAAAATACACATTTGGCGCTTGTAGCACAGTGGTTATGGTGCAGCCACATACACAGAAGGTAGTGGGTTCAAACCTGGACCAGGCCAGCTAAAACAACTGCAACAACAAAAAATAGACCGGCATTGTGCAGGTGCCTGTAGTCCCAGCTACGTGGGAGGTTGATGCAAGAGAACTGCTTAAGCCCAAGAGTTTGAGGTTACTGTGAACTGTGATGCCACAGCACTCTACCAAGGGTGACATAAGAAGACCCTGTCTCAAAAAAGAAAAAAAAAATACACATTCATCTACAGAAGTTTTAGAAAATACAGATAAAGAAAAAATATAAAATACCCATATTCTGAAACACCCTAACATGACCACTGCGAATATTTTGGTATCAATTCCTGCAAACTTTCACTGATTCATGCATCTATTTTCAAAATTGGCATTTTATTATTCAGCTTATATCTTTTTAAAAATCCAGACCAAATATCCTACTTCCTTTTCCATTTTCCCAGAAAAAAAATAACAGAAATTTGGCATACTATTTCTTTCTTTCTTTTTTTTTTTAAAGACAGAGTTTCACTTTGTTGCCCTCAGTAGAGTGCCATGGCATCACAGCTCACAGCAACCTTTACTCTTGGGCTTAGATGATTCTCTTGCCCCAGCCTCCCAAGTAGCTGGAACTACAGGTGCTCACCACAATACCTGGCTATTTTTTTGTTGTTGTTGTTGTTGTTGTTGTTGTTGTTGCAGTTTGGCCAGGGCTGGGTTCAAACCCACCACCCTCAGTATATGGGACCAGTGCCTTACTCACTGAGCCACAGGTGCTGCCCGGCATACTATTTCTTACAACAGGGTAAGAATTAGCTTTCTTTTTTCTTTTTTCTTTGAGACAGAATCTCAAGCTGTCACCCTGGGTAGCTTGCCATGGCATCACAGCTCTTGGGTTTAAGAAATTCTCTTGCCTCAGCTTCACAAGCAGCTGGGACTACAGGCACCTGCCAGAATGTCCAGCTATTTTTTGGTTGCAGTTGTCATTGGCCTGGGCTAGATTCCAATCCACCAGCTCCAGTGTATGTGGCTGGTATCCTAGCTGCTTGACCCACAGGCACTGAGCCGAATTAGCTTTCTTTATTGAGCAAGTAATATGTGCTGGACCCTGTTCTAACAGCATTGCATGTACTCACTCCTTTATTCTTCACAATGACTCTACTAAATAGATACTTTTTAAAAATTCCAGTATTCTGTCAAGGAATTTGAAGCACTAAGAAACTGAGTACCTACAAAATATTTTCAGCTAGAAAAGGAGATATTGAGAATGTGAGCCTAAGCTTCAGAGCCTCCCTACCTTTTCCTAATCCCACAAGTTGAAAAGGGCTTCAGGCTTATGACCATGCTATGCACCATTTAGTTGGTATGGCTGGGCCTAACCAGCTATAGACCCTGGGACAGGGCCACAGCAAGGGACTTGAGCAGCTGTACACCTGGGTGTTTGCCGAGGCCCTGGAACAATCCCCCTTTAAGATGTTCAAGGGACAACTGAACAGCCAGCCCTTGAAGGACACAGTGTGAGCTGTGAGAGCCACTCAGATACAGACTTTCCTCCTGTGTCGCCCTGAGACAACCAGGCCAACTGCCCTCCTCACTTTCACCAGGCCACGTGAAGACCTCTGTGATGATCCACTTTCACTAACAAACAGTAAATATATTTTTTCATCCTTATCATTTTCTTAGTGATGTTTTCTCTCATTTAATGGTAAGAATACAGTATATAATACAAATACAAAATACATACTAATCAGCTGTTTATGTTATTGGCAAAGCTCCAGTCAACAGCAGGCTATCAGTAGCAAAGCTTTTAGGGAGTCAAAAGTGATATGTCTACCATGAGGGGAAGGAGGCCCAATGTCCCCAACCCCCACACTGGTCAAGGGTCAGCTGTATATGTCTGCATATGTGTCTTTCTCTCACACAGGCTCACCACACTTTACTGAGCTTCACTTTACTGCACTCTCCAGATATTCCAAGTTTTACAGACTCAAGGTCCGTGCAACCCTTCTCTGAGGAAGTCTATTGGCACCATTCTGCCAACAGCTTGTGCTCACTTCCTGCCTCTGGGTCTCATTTTGGTAATTCTCACAGTACTTATAACTATTTCGAATTGGTGGGACCACACCTAAGGTGCATCTTACAAGGGTACATGTGAAATTTACTAAATATAGAAATAAATGTCTTAACACAATAACTAAGAGGGTGTCGTGAAGGCTATGTTAACTAGTTTAATGAAAATATTTCAGGTTATATATAAAACCAGCACATTGTACCCCATGATTGCATTAATGTACATAGCTATGATTTAATAAAAAAAAATAACTAAAAAAATTAAAAAAAAAACAAAACTATTTTGGCCAGGCTCAATGGCTCACACCTATAATCCTAGCACTCTGGGAGGCTGAGGCAGGTGAACTGCTTGAGCTCATGAGTTTGACACCAGCCTAAGCAAAAATGAGACCCCGTCTCTACTAAAAATGGAAAACTAAGGCAGGAGGATCGCTTGACCCCAGGAGTTGGAGGTTACGGTGAACTGACACCACAGCACTCTACCCAGGGCAAATGCTTGTGACTGTCTCAAGAAAAAAAAAATTCATTATTATTATTATATGTTACAGTAATCTCTGATCAGCGATTTTTGATGTTACCATTGTAATAATTTTGGGGGACCAGGAACCACAGCCCTTGTGAGATGTCAAACTTAACTGGTAAACATGTGTTCCAACTATTCCACTGACAGGCCATTCCCCCATTTCTCCCTTCTCCTCAGCTTCCCTATTCCCGGTTATCAAATAAAAAATATTAAAATAAAGCCAATTAATAATAGTGTCTCAGTGTTTTCAGTGAAAAGAAGAATCGTACTGATCTCACTTTAAATGATAAAGCCCAGTGAGGAAGGCATGTCACAAGTCAAGACTGGAGCCAGGTGTGGTGCTCAGCCTGTGATCCAGCACTCTGGGAGACCCAGAAAGGTGGAGCACTGGAGCTCAGGAGTTGGAGACCAGCCAGAGGAAGAGTGAGATCCCATCTTGACTAAAAATAGAAAAATAGCCTGGTGTTGTGGCAGGTGTCTGTAGTCTCAGAGGATCTCATGAGCCCATGAGTTAGAGGTTGCTATACGCTATGACACCACAAAACTCTAGCCTGGGCGACAGAATGAGAAAAAAAGGAAGTCAAGACTGGCCAAAAGCTAGGCCTTTTGTACCAGTTAGTCAAATGTCAGTTAGTCAATTGAAAGAAAAAGTTCTTAAAGGAAATAAAACTAT